GATAGAAAAAAGTGAAATCAATTGCTTGTGAACACGACCTACAGGTAAGCGACTGTTGGCACCGGAGATGAAAAGCTTACTTACTTTCCTCTTACGTCCATAGACTTGATTGCATTGGAAATCACTTCTCAATCACTTCAACACAATCTCTCTATACTTTATATTGACGTCATATTAATAATTCAATTACTAGTTTGACTCTTATATTAGTTATTAAATGTTATAACACTTTTAAATTAAGAATTTTCAAAAATATTTTTCAATTTCAAGTATTCGTCTCAAGATTGCAAAGATATTGTCAACACTAAAAATTGCATATAATTTAATCCTTTATAAATCTAATCAAAAAATATATCGATATTATCCTTGTTTTAAAACACGATAAAAGACCACAAAATTAGTAACATTTGGATCTTTTATTATTGTTTACCAAGTCTTGGATACTATTGAGCCGTCAGTTCATTATTAATGCCATTATAATTAACCTTAAATAAAATAAACTAGTTTTGTGTCATTTTTTCTTGCAATTTATTGTGGATTTAAAGTATGGAAAACGACCGCAAAGTATTCAAACAAATAAAAACTTTTACTAACAAAATGATGGATTAACAATCCCAATAGTAAGGCGCTCTCACAATAAGGCGCTCCCTCTTTATTATTGGATGATATTGTGGGTGTGTACTGTATGTAATGTATGGGTTAAGTCAATGAGGGGCAGAAAGAGGGAGCGTGAGAGCGACTTAATGTGAGAGCGCTTTACTAAAGCCGTTGTAATAGTTGGATTGGAAACACAATAATTATATTAAACTAAAATTAATAAAATAGTAATAATTTGTGTCACTTTTTTGCAACCATTTTACTTTTTCTTAAGGCTATTCTTATAGGAAAACAAATAAAATAAGAATTTATACATTTATAAAATATAATATTGTTATAATTTTATATAAAATGCAATTCATATGCAAGAAATAACATATTGAATGTAATTTTACACAATCTCAATGACAATCCCTGTATCGGAAATCAGCCATCGGTTGAATACACAGGGTGTATACGAATGAATTAATTCAATTCAATTCAATTTCACATTCAATAATGTTTTTAATTTTTAAACAATGATATATAACAAATATATTTGAATGAATTAAAAAAAATTCATTCTTTTTTAAAATCAATGAATTGTTGCAAAAAGTTGTTAAAATTTTTAAAAGTACTTAAAATTTTTGTTTTGTGTCACAAAATTCAAAAGTCAAATGTATTCACAATTGCAGTCATTCTCACGAATATTCTTCACTAAACTCTAACTAATCCTCTCTTTTCACACATTATTTTAGACATCAATCGAAACAACACTCAAATCAACACATCTTTCCATCGAAATTAATCTCAACTCAAGAACTGAACAGTGGTTTCGACTCAAGGCATGGATTTAAAGACTCTTCGGGTAAGAGACTAACCATTTATTGATCCCTAAGTATGGGTTAATGCCATGACTTGAAGACTGACGGCACCCAAAGGTAGATACAGTTCGCCTGCGGGTCCGTAACATAAGTCCGTCAGTCCTCGAGCGGAAAGGTGTCAAACCTTTAACCGATAACAGAAGGCATTCCCACACTATTCCTCCCATTCTCTTAGGTTTGAGACAAACCACGCATTCGTGACCACAAAGACATTAAACCAATAAATCTCATCAAAGAAATCACTAAACACTCAAAACTCGACACCGATTTGATCCCAAATACGGACCCAAAGATTCTTCAGGTAAGAGACAAACCGTTTATTGAGCCCTAAGTATGCGTTAATGCCAGTGACTCGAGGATATGACAGCACTCACACGGTATGCCCCGACAGCCTATGAGTCCGTAACATAAGTCCGTCGGGAATCAGATCTTAAAGAGTATTCCCAAACCATTCCTCCCATTCTTTTAGGTTTTGATGAACACAACTAAAGACATCACAAATCTTAGAGATTTGAACAAATTGTTTGGCACTCAATAGACATTGGATTTAACACTGATTTAATGGTAAATATAATTTATTTATTAATGTTTTCTATAAGAATGACTGCAATTGTGAACACTTTTGACACTAAATTATAACTTTAATTAAAATAAATAATTTTTAATCGAAATCTTTGTTTTTATTCATATTTTTATGATTCAAATCATTATTACAGCAAAAATCCAAAGAATTAAATGAGATTTGGATTATTTTTGTAGATTTTAAAAATGTCGGCTTCGATGGCCATCGCTGTCAACTGATCCCTCGCTATCTCATCGCTTAGTGTCTGAGTATCCCTTCTATAGGACACTAATTGGTCATTGAGTCGCTTCGCCGACGCTATCAACTCATCCACGGATGGCATCTCATGAATGGACACATCAATCATTGCGAGCATTTGGTCCAATTGGTCCACTTCTGCCTTCACTTTAATGTTAATGCCATGACTTGAGGACTGACGGCACCCAAAGGTAGATACAGTTCGCCTGCGGGTCCGTAACGTAAGTCCGTCAGTCCTCGAGCGGAAAGGTGTCAAACCTTTAACCGATAACAGAAGGCATTCCCACACTATTCCTCCCATTCTCTTAGGTTTTAGACAAACCACGCATTCGTGACCACAAAGACATTAAATCAATGAATCTCATCAAAGAAATCACTAAACACTCAAAACTCGAAACCGATTTGATTCCAAATACGGACCCAAAGACTCTTGAGGTAAGAAACAAACCATTTATTGAGCCTTAAGTATGTGTTAACGCCATTGACTCGAGGATATGACTCACACGGTATGCCCCGACAGCCGGTGGGTCCGTAACGTAAGTCCGTCGGGAATCAGGTCTCAGTCCTCAAGTGAAAGAGTACTCCCAAACCATTTCTCCCATTCTTTTAGGCTTTGATGAACACAACTAAAGACACCACAAATCTTATAGATTTGAACCAATTGTTTGGCACTCAATAGACATTGGATTTAACACTGAATTTAAGGTAAATATAATTTATTAATTAATGTTTTCTATAAGAATGACTGCAATTGTAAACACTTTTATAACTTTAATTAAAATAAATACTTTTTGATCAAAATCTTTGTTTTTATTCATATTTTTATTATTCAAATCATTAGTACAGCAAAAATCTAAATAATTAAATGAGATTTGGATTATTTTTGTAGATTTTAAAAATGTCGGCTTCGATGGCCATCGCTGTCAACTGATCCCTCGCTATCTCATCGCTTAGTGCCTGAGTATCCCTTCTGTACGACACTAATTGGTCATTGAGTCGCTTCGCCGACGCTATCAACTCATCCACGGATGGCATCTCATGAATGGACACATCAATCATTGCGAGCATTTGGTCCAATTGGTCCACTTCTGCCTTCACTTTAATCAACTCATTCTTCTTGTCGATTGTGTCCTCACATTCCTCGTCATCCGTCTCTTCAAATGGCAGTGAATTATCGTTGACTTCAATGCCATTCATTTTGGCCAATATTTGTCTCATTTTTTTCACTTTTGCATCACTTTTAATGAGATCTAACGGTATGTCCGAAACAAATGTCAAAACTTAACGACTCTTTGAATCCGTTGATGGCATACAAAGCGATACCTTTTGTGTGATCTCTGGAGCGTCTGTGGATCAGTCGGTGACAGTCGGCGGCCGACAGATCGGCCAAACTCTCGACTCTTTCGATAAACCACTCCCTGTATGGCAACAGATCCGGAGGAATCGCTGTCTGAATGTGTGCTTTATGTGCATTGAGTTGATTATTGGTGATAATGTGCGCCAATCGGTGGTAATAGTCCTCCGAGTGATGCAAATGTGTGTCCAATCCGTCACTCATTTCAATACAAAACACATGTATTTCTTGTGCCGACTGTTTGTCACAAGTCTTACAGTTTTGTTGCAATCAATGCATGCATTCGTTCATAAATACTGTGACACAGAATTCATGCAAATTCGTGACATTTATGCTAATATTCTGTCATTTATTTGTTATATATTTAACTCTTAATTTAATTAAATCAGTGTTTAGTTAAATATATTGAGAAATATTGATAAATGTTTACATCATTTAAATAATGAACAAATTATGCTTCAAATATACTTACAGTGAATGAGCGGATAATTGTAGAATGACCATGGCCGTTTAGGAATTGCTCTAGTTGAGCAATATGATCATGATAAGTTGCTAACCGTATATTATAATTAATAATTAATAATAAAACTAATATATTGTTCAGAATTCGTTGTTTTTATTAATGGCTTAACAAAAAGAGGGGAAATTAATAAACAATTTATACAACACTTATGTTAATGAACGGGAAATTAGGAATTGATAAATGATTTAAATATAATATATATTTAATATAATATAAATTCATAGAAACAGTATATATCAGAAAAAATGATAACCAATTAATTGATAGTTATTTGTGTTTATGAAAAATAATATCATAGATAAAGAGCACAAAAAACATAGTTTTGTTTAAACAAATTTCAGTAGCAAAAGGACAACACTTGAGAAAATGTGTTCATCGATTAGTCGATTAATTATATTTTTATATATAATTATTTTAATTAATTATTATATTATTATTTTATTTTTTAACAATTATTTTCGTCTTTTAAATATAGATTTTAATCTCTAAATGAGCTAATAATGGATGAGAGATCTAATGAGCAATAAATAGATATATGTAAAAATAGCTGCGCCTAGAAGTCAATGAAAAAACTTGGGATGACTTTTGTTTGACTGTGTATTTAATTGTTTGATGAAATCCTATTATCAGAGGCTCTCAACGATTTATAACAACATTTACAACAGTTTTTTAATGTTTAATTATTTAGTTAATATCGACGACAACATTAGTTAGAGTTTGTTATTTCGGTTTTCTGTGTATTGGTATTAGTTATCAAAATAATAATCTCAACATTCAATGCAATCAAATGTACATTATTTGACTGAAATTTATGAGGAGTGGGTTTTGTGTATTCGTGTAATCTTTGAAAATATTCGTTAATAACTTATATATAACTTATAACAGATTCGTTGTAAGTCTTAATGTTATGAGTGTAGCGCCCGAACGGTACAGACCCTACCCTTGCATCTAATGGTTTAGATGAAAGAGTAGGGGCCGTCCGTTAAGGCGCTACAAAGTATCTGTCAAGAGGGCGGCTGACCGGCCTGTGTTTGCGGCACATTTGTCACCGCATTATTGCCTATTATGTGTTCATTCAATTGGGCCCTTTGGCCGCCCGGGTTGTGACCCCTCTCCGCCTTATAGTACTCCAATCCCGGATCAAATTGCAGTAAAACAAAGATCTGAAACAAATTAATATTGTTAAAATCAATACAAATGGAGTATATATTGTGATCGCATACCATATCACTAGGAATTAGGATCAATTCGTTGGGAGGATTAGTGATAACGTATCGTTTGGCCGACGCATCTGCCACTCCACTCGTGTCGCGGAAGCGATAAATACCGATACATAGCATACCATATGAGCGAAGGGCTGCCAGAAAGAGGTCACCATATTTGCCACTTTCTCCATATTGAGCGAGAGGTCCGTCATAGAGACTGATTTGTCCGACTCGACAGCGGTCGCGATTCTTCAGCGTTTCGGGCGTCGAATAACCGCCTCTAAGACCCGCGCCTTCCGCTAGGATGAGCTCCAGCTCTGGAGTGGCGCCACCGGTGATCAGCGACCGGATTAGCGTCAATGCGTTTGCATTGAAATATGTGGTCGACATGAGAGAGTCGAGGACAGAGACGGCGAAAGCGGTTCCGCAGGCGAACGGCTGCGTCAGATACAGCTCAGTGTCCGGATCGTCGTCGTCGTCCTGATCTAAGAACTGAACGTTTGTGTCGTTTACCAGTTCTGTTATCAGAGGTACGTTTGCCCCGTAAACGGATCTAATGGTCGTTAAGATGGCATTTAGTCATTTGTTAACATTATTATTGTTGGTTATCAATTGCAAAACCCATACCCTCTTCGTTGCACAACCAGTGGTGGGGGAGAAGTCCCCGGAATAGTGTTCCCAATGGCCATACCATTGGTTGCATTATTAGTTATGACACCAATAGTGTCGTCAAAAGTCATGGCTTTAATGTTAAGACTCGCCAAAATGGCCTCTTTGTCGGCTAATGTTGGATCATCTGATGAGGGAATCTTTGCCGACAATATGACACACATATCACATAAGTTTATGTTAACGGCTCTCAAATCGGCGCGCGATAGGGGAGAGCCGTTCAATACACTAATCTTAGGCAAGTTCTGCAACATTTTCCACTCTCGCCGCAGATAATCAACATTTCCGACAATCACTACGTGTTTGAGTTCGTGGTAATGGAAGTTAGAGGCTCTGCACAGAGTTTCAATCAATATTAATTAGTGTTAACTTAAATACAATCAAATTATTTGTGAATGTTTGCGAAAACAAACCTCAACGGCATCACCAAATTTCTAAGACCAATGAGCGGTGAATCCGGATCTGCGAACAGACAGACAACAACGTGACCGTTGAGGACAGTCATCGCCGCCTGATTGCGATCGAGAATGCATTCCTCGATGGGTCGGGCGGGACACCAGTGAAACATTCCGGTCGAGTCGTACTTCATCTCAGTTTTCTCGAAATCAAAGTCTTTTGAATCGATAAAACCGGCGCTCGTCGTGCCGGTGGTTCCGGTGCCGCTCGTCTGGTCTGCGCGCTGTGCCGCCGGCCTGACCATCAAAAACAGATTATCAATGTTTGCAATGAACGGCAAATGATTGGTTAAGAGTCTTACATGAGTTTCTTGACCTCGTAGGCCAAGTGGACCTGATTATAGAGCAACTGTCCCGCGGATGGCAAGGTTTGCGATGACTGCACGACCGATGAAAGCTGTGAGTGCTGTGAATGCTGTGTGTGTTGTGTGTGTTGTTGTGATGGAAGCGCTTTATTGCGCGGATGGGATGACTGGCTGTGAGCGCTGTTTTGCGGAGGAGTCGTCACGTGTTTGCCATTCCGAGCCGCCCGACGGCCGCCGGCAGATGTGGTCGATGTCGGAGGAATCAGATGGACTGAGATGTCGATCAAACAATATATTAATCCATCAAATTATAAGTATTGAATGGTTTTTGCTGTAAGACTTACTGCTTTCGCTCGGATCACCGGAATTGTCACCTAAAAAGTCAATATTTGAAACGAAATCTGATATAATTATTAGATAATAATTGAAGTTTTTATAGCAATTAGTATTGAATTAATGGCTAAAAACTATTTCCATAAAGTTTTTAGAGATTTCGAAATACCTCTAAGTTTTCGAGAAATTTTGGGTATTTCTGGGGGAGTATTAGTCGGATGTAATGATAGCGAAGACATGTTTCCGTCAGCCATTCCTAAGGTTTGATTCAAACCATAGCCGCTGTCAGCTATTGATTAGTATATTAGAGAGGATTAGTTTTGGACAATACATGTGAATGTCAACAGATATCCAATAAACACACATTAATTTACTAATACTTTTGTCAAATCCAACAAACAGTGGATTAGGAGATGACGTAAAGCATTCACACTAAAGAATTACGGAATATATACAGTATAGTAAAGAGTATAACACGGTATACAACAGTAGGCAACAGTTGTTAATCATGGACTCTAAGGCATGCGATTAAACGACATTGATTTGTCACATCAATACTACAACTGGTAAATACAGTTAGAAAAGTCATGCTCTACTACGACAACAACTAGATTAAAGTCATAAGTGATGTCATACTTGATTGTCTGGTGGCTGTATTGTTATGAACTGCCTGAACAACTCTCACTCCCTTCTTAAATATAGCGCCAACTATATTGTCATTAATAGTCATTACAATTAGACAGAGAGTTAGAGGCAATTGAGTACAATATTTTTGGTGACAAAATACACGGTTTTTTCAGTTATTCAATTAGTTATTCAATTGGTTTTGTCAAAAACACCATTCAATAAATCGGTTTTGTTGTGCAATTCAGTGCAGAATATGAGAAAAATTAATAGAGAAAAGAGAAAGAAACGAAAGTGCTGTGCATTAGATTCAGTGTTAATCATTAAATGAGTTAATTTTATGGTTAATATCATGGTTTAGATCCGTTTTCAAAAATACTCTGAAAAATCAATTCTAATTCTACAAAAATGTTTTGTTAGGTTTAGGTTAATGTTTAGAAACTAAATCTATAAATCATTGACTAAAAGCTAATCATAAGAATCCAATGTTATTGAATTGAGTAGTGATACTAACGATTCTTGCACTTGCATTTCCGGATCAGCTTCTCGTCCTTCACATCGTCGTGACAACTCTTGCAAAACCAAAGGGCGCTTAAGTGGAGAACAATTGCAATATATTATAAATCACATCATATTTGGAGCAGAATTCTTGATAATAAACATTCTTTAAGAATAAAAGACCATTTATTTATCAAAAAACATATAGTTTAAAATTTAAGGCTATTCTTTAGGCTATATTCTGTATGTTTTTAAAACCAACAAATTGTTTAATAAGATAAATACAAATATAATTTAACATTTTATATCAATATAGAAACAATAATTCTTAATGAATATTGTAAACAGTGCTATAAATCAGTGATGTTTATAGTACTGTTTACTCTTCCTTCAAATAAATGCTTTCATATAAAAGTCAAAACAATTTTTGATTCTTTAAAAGCAAACAGAAATTTCAAATAAAATTTGCTAAAAAAAGTTTATATAAATAGATTGAAAGTATAGTTCTTTGTATTAAAACGTTTGTTTAATATGTATTGTAAATCAGTTTAAAGCAAAGGAATTGTATATTTTATAATTGAATTCAAACCAAATAAACAGATTTATGAGAAATAGGTGTTGAGGTGTGGGTGCGATGGCTATGGGAGGGAATGTCTCACCGTTTGACTTCATCAGCACTTTGAGCGATGAAGAATCCCTGTGTTGTACTTTGAATGCGATGATTGCCCTTAGGGTTGATGACAATGTTGGCGCTGCCGTCACCCGTTTAACTCTATGGGCGCAAAAACAACTGATCTACGTACAAAAACAAAATAATAATAATAATAAAACACCACTATGTAATTATTTAATTCAATGGCTTATTTCACACTATAAAGCGAGTGGTTATCTCACTTTGAAAAACACTAGAGAAAACACATGATAAAAATCTAGACACAAAAACACCAAAACAACACACGTTATCATCCATTCACTTAACGTCGCGATTAGTTATTATTATTAACAGTATTTTGTAAAACACAGGTCACGTGATTAGCCAACACATGTATGAGAGGGCTCACAATAGGGGCCAAATGGGTTAACCCTATTAAACGTATACTAAAGACTCGGACCACACAAATACAGGCGCGAGCCCCATTACTGGTACACGAAAGTGAATTTGTGTATGTATAATTATCCGTTATTATTATTATAGGCAGTAAAATAACAGAACGAAATGGTATTACAATAACACATTCAGTCATTCACACACACAGACTGTGTATAACAAAAACATGATAAATAACATGATATATACATTATTATGCGTGTATATTATCCCATAGACTCCCTGTTATTATATATGTGTATATATAGTGCCGTTAATAACGCTATATGTTTTTGTTTGGGGGAAAAAACAAACTTTAATACTGGGAAAAAAAACTGTACACTTGTTTTCCCACTGTTTTGTTATACACTTTTTCAATCTCAATGCTAAGTCTATGGGCGAGTGCGCGCACCCATAGGGGGTCAGCACTGGTGTGCATTGGTATGGGTAGGGGTGGGAGAGGGAAGGGTTACCCTTTTTATAGCATGTTGAAACACACAATATGTTTATACACTGTTCACCCCCTTGAGACTACTATAGCCTACCCCTGGTAACCACAATGATTGCCCGTGTGCACTTTTTGTCTACACCTACTATCCTATGCAGAAGTTTAGGTACTATTTATTGTATGGATTTTATATAGTATTGTATTAAAAGGTACCGTAATGTTTGGGTTATATACGCGGTGTTAATATGTGTGCTGTATTTTTGTTTACAGTTATTTTTAATGTGTGCGCAGATATTTAAAAACGTTTAGGGTTAGGGCTTTTCATTTAGTACGTAATACTGTTAGGGGGAAGGGGTTGGTGAACAAGTGCGATATACTGAATTTATTATTTCTTGTAGGTAATTTATCCAGGTGTTTTTTAATTTATCGTATTGAAATCACACAGGTTGTTTTGTTTTGTAGTTATGTTTTATTTGTATATAAAAAATGGGTAATAAAATAAAGTTATTTAAAGTTTTAGCGCTAAATGAAATTATTGTTTAACTGTTTTGCAAGTTTTTATGCACTTAATAATAGTCTATTATTAATACGATATACTCTCCGGTGTTACGCACACTAATGACAACACGTGCACAGTTTGACACGTTTTAAATACACTAATTTTGATAAAAGTTGCTGGATTACACGTGTGTTCGTGTTGAATAGGTTATTAACTATTTTGTTTTGTGTCACTGTGAATAGTGAAATATTTATTTTGTTAATTTTATGAATATAGCCACGTGCGGCACGTGCATACATTATTTTATTTACTAATTTATAATCAAGTTAATTATAAACGTTGCGTTCATTATGATAAAAAGTTTAATATAGTTAATTAGCCACTAGTTTATTGCTTTTTAATATATTTATTAAACTTAATTAATTTTAAAAAATGACAATTGTAAAATTTAATATTAGTATTGTCTGTATAGACTGTATAATAAACTACCTATCGTTAATTAGTAAATTATTAATAACTAGTTAATGAGTTTGGATTATTAATTTGTGATAATATTTAAATGTTGCTATTTTTGGTGCGAAATTTATCAAGGGTTATTTGGGATAATCTCACAGTCAATGTACCGGTATATAATCATAGCAATGTATATGCATATTAATCTATTGAGATGATTTACCATAATCTAATACCCAAAACACACCCATGACTACCGGTTCACTATAACGTGTCCGTACACTATACACAGCACAGGGATGTTGTATGTGACTACAATGTTGTGTATAATCCCATACATAGCAACACTCATCAGAGCACAGCATTTATGGAAAGGGGATGACTGTATGTGAATATTCCGTATGTTCCGACACATACACACACTATCATACATGTGNCACACATATCGATGGTATACTTGACATGTGCGGCAATTACTGTGCATCACATGTATGATAGTGTGTGTATGTGTCGGAACATACGGAATATTCACATACAGTCATCCCCTTTCCATAAATGCTGTGCTCTGATGAGTGTTGCTATGTATGGGATTATACACAACATTGTAGTCATACACAACATCCCTGTGCTGTGTATAGTGTACGGACACGTTATAGTGAACCGGTAGTCATGGGTGTTTTTTGTTGGGTATTAGATTATGGTAAACATCTTAATAGATTAATATAAATATGCGTTGCTATGATTATATACATGGACTGTGAGATTATCCCAAATAACCCTTGATAAACGCACCAAAATAGCAAAAATTAAATATAATCACAAATTAATAATCCAAACTTATTAACTAGTTATTTATAACAATTTAATAATTAACGATTGGTAGTTTATTATACAGTCTATACAGACAATACCAATATTATCTTTTACAATTATCAGTTTTTTAAATTAATTAAGTTTAATAAATATATTAAAAAGCAATAAACTAGTGGCAAATTAACTGTATTAAACTTTTTATCATAATGAACGCAACGTTTATAATTAACTTGATTATAAATTAGTGAATAAAATAATATATGCACGTGCCGCACGTGGCTATATTCATAAAAATTTAATAAAATAATATTTCACTATTCAGTGACACAAAACAAAATAATTAATAACCTATTCAACACGAACACACGTGTAATCCAGCAACTTTGATAAAAATTAGTGTATTTAAAACGTGTCAAACTGTGCACGTGTGGTCATTAGTGTGCGTAATACCAGTAAGTATATCGTATTAATAATAGGCTATTATTAAGTGCATAAAACTTGCAAAACACTTAAACAATAGTTTCATTTAGCGCTAAAACTTTAAATAACTTTATTTTATTAACCATGTTTAATATACAAATAAAACCTAACTACAAAACAAACCATGTGTGTGCTTTCAATACGATAAATTAAAAAAACACCTGGATAAATTACCTATAAGAAATAATAAATACAGAATATTGCACTTGTCCACCAACCCCTCCCCCCACAGAATTACGTACTAAATGAATAGGCCCTAACCCTAAACGTTTTTAAATATCTGCGCACACATTAAAAATAACTGTAAACAAAAATACAGCACACATATTAACACCGCGTATATAACCCAAACATTACGGTACCTTTTAATACAATACTATACAATACAATACAATAAATAGTACCGAAATTCCAGTATAACATAGCAGAGTTAGAAAAATATGTACAGGGGCAATCATTGTGGTTACCAGGGGTAGGCTATAGTAGTCTCAAGGGGGGGGGTGAACAGTGTATAAACATATTGTGTGGTTTAACACGATATAAAAAGGGTAACCCTTCCCTCTCCCACCCCTACCCATACCAATGCACACCAGTGCTGACCCCCCTATGGGTGCGCGCGTCCATAGACTTAGCATTGAGAGTGAAAAAGTGTATAACAAAACAGTGGGAAAACAAGTGTACCGTTTTTTCCCAGTGTTAAAGTTTTTTTTCCCCAAACGAAAACATATTAACTGCACTATTATATAGACACATAACAGGGAGTCTATGGGATAAATACATATATACACGCATAATAATGTATATAACATGTTATTTATCATGTTTTTGTTATACAGTCTGTGTGTGTGTGAATGACTGAATGCATAACATTATGGTAAAGCAAGACAATAAAATGACGGATATTATTATTATTGCCTATTAATATGTATGTGTTTAAGTGAAAGCACATGGTCATTACCCCGAGCGCGGACATAAACACACCAGGCTCAGTTCTCTTTCTCCATACAAAATATTGTTTAGTTTAGTGTTAATTATTTTGTAATAATCATAACTATTATTACTGAAATTGTTTTAACGATTTGTCTGTTTTGTATACAAATACTTATTGAGAGATAGGTTTAGCTATAAATTTAAACATTGCATGAAATGATCATAATTATTAGTTTACCTTGTTATATGATTTTCAGTCGCACACCCCCTCCCCCACCCGACGCATGCATTTAGATAATTGGGGTAATTTTAATCAGGGTTTTAAATGTTATGATTTTTGAATGAGAAATATAAGTTAAAAATTATTAAACGTTATTATTATTATATGAAATCAAAATCATTATTATTTATACATTAATTAGATTTAAGAGTTAATTATTAATCTCTCTCTCTCTCTCTCTCTCTCTCTCTCTCTCTCTCATTGCTATTATTTTCTGAACAAAACATATATTGATATTAAAAACAAAGCATAAGATTTAATGGAAACAAAGTTTTCAAAAACTTTTCAAAAAAGTTTATTCAAATTTTTATGAAATATATAATTAATAATAATAACTATTATTATTACTATTGATCGTCACGTATAGTGAAATCCATGAGTTTATTATAATTATAAAAACAGATTTATTATTATTATAATTATATTAGAAATAATTTGATTTTTTATTTGTATAATTTTTTGGACAATTTTACTTTTATTTGATTACAAAATGATTATAATTTAGTGAAATGAATGAAACGTTTTTCTTTATATATAATTCTTTTGAAAAATGTATTTTTAACTTAAATTATTTGAAAATTAAAAGTGATTTATTAATGAATGAATTGTTTAACCATAATTATTAAATATAATCTAGAACATATTATGAAATGATTATTATAAATATGTTAACAGTTTTTCATGATCAAATTGATAAACTAGCTACCGTAATCAACATGTATAATTATTATATTGTTTAACCACTTATAACACTATAAATCAGGATTAATAAATTATTATCAAGATCATTAACTAGAAATAACTAATGTTAACCATGGTTATTATTTTATTTGAAAAAAATTCCCATATTTTTACCCCAAAAAACAATTATAATTAAAAATTGAAAAATAAATTTTCACAAAAACTTTTTTCCCAAACTTTTCTCAACAACTATTAGTCTCTATGAATGAAATACATTGCAATCGCATTGAAATGC